ACCTTAATTTTTTTTTAACCTGTAAGTCTCATGTAAGACTGGAGTCTACAAGATTTTTAACACTTTAATGTTTTAAGTGAGGTTGGCTACCTCCCAAAACCTATGTAACTGTTTTTAATGGAAAGTCTCAAAAGGGATAGAAGATTATAACCACAAAATTTCATTTTTTTTTCATTGAGTTTATTGGTAATTTTTAGGTATACAGTACAGTTACATTCATCATTGGAATCTTGTACCTTTACATGACAGATCTTGATTCTCATTTTCTCCCATACCCCTGCCCTGCCTTCACCCGCTTTTCCCTGACCTCTGAAAGTGAAAGCCACTCTCATTCCAGAGCTACAGTGGCACTGGGCCACAGTATAATTGAGCAGGTAGAATCAGATGAGCTAGCAAGTCATAAAGAGCCAAACACTGAAGTTCATGGGAGAGGGGACTCACCATTTTGGAGATGGAAGATCTGGCCATTCAAGAGTCTTCCATGGTAGGCTGGGTGTGGTAGCAAGTACCTGTAATACCAGCACTCAGGGGGCTGAGGCAGGAGGATTGTTATGACTTTGAGGTTACCCTGGGCTGCATAGTGAGTTTAATGTGTCAGTCTGAATTACACAGTGAGATCCTGTCTCAAAAACCAAACATCAAAATAAAACAAAACAAAACGTCTTCACGTCAAGAAATTTAACTGAGACTAGAAGCCAACAGCCACTTGGAAAGATCAGCAAAGGGAGACAGTGAAACAGTCAAGGGGAGTTGTTATAATTTATATTGATTCTCTCTGGGTAAGTTTCCCTGTCAATTGTGCTGTGTGTTGAGTGATTGAGGAAGGGGGGGGGGTCCCAAAAGAAAAGAAAGTATAAGTGTTGCCGAAGTGAGCACCCAAAAGAAAAGAAAGTAGTCCTTTAATATTATGGGCTGTAATAGGCCATTCACTTTTTCCCACTGTTCAGGTCTTACTGGGGAGTGACCCCATCAGAACCTAGCAGTTTTAAGTGGAAAGCAAGGCTTTCCACAAGAGACTGAAAAGACCTCCTTACTTTGTGCTCTGATGGGCTATAGTGCTTGGGGTTACAGCAGGGAGGTCTTCGGTTTTTGTTTTATCAATGAGATCATCTGTGTTGAATTCACCCCCACCTCAATAGACTTAATAGTCTGCCCTTTTTATTAACAACACTAGATGTTTGTACTCTCTAGGCATTCCTTGGTGGGGGGCAGTGAAGAAGGAATAGGAAAGTATATGAAAATGTAACAATAACTCTTTACATGAGGCACAAGAACTTTATAGGGAATAAGCATAAGGCTAGTAAGAAAAAAACACCAATCTCTCCTACGTCTTAAATGTAATCATCACAGTTAAATGGTGGGGAGGGGGAGAAAAAGATAAACACTGACCTTTTACCTCTTTTCAGTCTCAATTTGTTTGATTCAAAGTGCACACTGATCTTGGTGATACCTCCAAATATGAAAGTTAATTTGCTGCAAGCCCAAGCTCACTATCTCATTCACTTCACTAAATTGAAGATGAAATCATGGACAAAAAGAGAAAGTTAGGAGAGTCTTCCTTGGAAATAAGAAGATAGCTCCTGGATATTTATCCAGGAGAGGATTTTGAAAATGGGATGGCATTGTGCTCTCTTTGTTTTAGCCTTATACAGATAAGCAGAGCACAGAAACTTATTTTAAAGAAGTGGCTCTGAAAATTTTGGGTTTAATGAAACAGTTCTGTAGCCAGCCAAATTTGAGGGAAATTGAGTTGAAAGGAAACTGGTTATTCTGTATTGTTTACTTTTTCAAGCCCCAGAATTTGAAAGGAACTATCAACTAACATACATCTCAAAAGGTATTTTTTAATGGTGGGTGTATACACCTCATGCAGCCATTCCATGAGCATTTGCCATGTGACTCAAGCTTTTGCATTGTCCTGCACGTGATAGGCAGTCTGCCCTTGTGCACATTCTGTTCCTTGAATGCATAGGGGGTCTGGGAATAATACACCAGTAGTTGCTTAATCTTCAGATCAACACAGTCTTTGGACACAGCAAAAGGGTTAATCTGTCCTTCAGGGCCTTGTGCACTGGCAGTACCTTTTCCTCCTGTACGATATAGGCTTTGTTTGGTATCTTCTTCCAGAGGAGCCCTGTTTCATCGCAGTTGAACACTTGTTGAGTGATGTATCCTTCTGCTCTCTTGAGTTCTGCAAATTCTTTCTTGTAGGATTCTTCAGTGGCCTTGTCAGAACTGGAAGGCTCACCATGTCTTATCACACTGTATATGTCATTTATCTTGCAGCATTTATAAAACTACCCCATGCAGGCTTTAAATTCATCACTTGTTGCACTTTTACAGGGGTTTTCTTGCACGAAATCACTGTGCTAATCCCTGAATTTTTCACCAATCACAGCTTCATCAACGCTATCACCTGACATCTGTCTTTCTAACCACACTAACAAACGTTTTCCACCTCTTCCAGCATGTGTCCTCTGCTTGATTTACACTGTTACTCCTTTTGCCACATCAGATCCTTTGATGGCGTCTTTATTCTTCATAATAGTCTAGGTCTTCAACTTCACCATCTTGTACTCTGAGGCCAGATCAGTCATATGAATACCATGCTCTTGCTTTTCTACAATTTCCTTCTTCAATTCAATGATTATTTCCTTCAAAACCTCCTTTTACTGTTCTTGCTGTGCATTTTCTTGTTACCTTTATTATTGCTCTGCACATTCTTGTCACCTTCCTCACCTCTCAGCATTTTCTTTAAGAGCCATGCTGGATTGAATAAAACTGTACAGTACTGTATGTGCTAAACAGCACACATAAAATCTTCATAGCAAGTGTACACTGTCTGTGACTGCCATCTTCACTAGAGGAAGCCACAGCCACGTGTCAGAGCAGGGAAGATGGCTGCCTTCCTATTTGTGTGGGTAAGTTGGCCACGGTTGTGTTTGTCACCTGACCGCAAGATTTGTGAATAAAAGCAAAATTTTGCTGAATGCTTCTGTTCGTGAGCAGATGCATTTGTGAACTGAGGTCTTATTGTATTTATTAACTGACATTTTTGCAGCCAGTTTGTCAATCTCTGATCTAAGTTTTCAAGTTTATTGGCCTAACATTGTTTATAGTATTCCTGTATTATTCTTATTATCTGTAAAATCTGTAGTGATGTCACTTGTCTCATTTTTGACATTTGTCACTTTTGTTTCACTAATTTCCACTCTGATATTTATTTCCTTTCTTTTTCTTACATTAGATTTTATTTGTTCTTTCTTTTCTAGTGTCTTAAGGTGGAAGCTGAGTTCATTGATTTAAAGACGTTCTTATTTCTAATGTAAGGGTTTAGTGATATAAAATTCTCTTTAAGTATTGTCTTAGCAGCTTTCCACAAATTTTGATGTGTTGTATTTTCATAGAGGAATGGTATTAGGGTAATTTTCATAGGTACTGGTAATCTCATTTCTAAATAGGTGTTAGATACATGGTTACATTTATTTATTTGTACATTTATTCTTTACACCTTACACGTATAAATATTTTTGAATGTATTTTACATTTAGCAAGGAGCTTTTTAAAAAGTGTGATTGGGATGTAAGGATATAATTACCTCCTGGATGATAGTGGGTAAACAATACTTTTATCAGTTATGTTGTGAAAAGAAGCAGAGAAAGGGGATAGTAATTAAAAAATGACATGAGATAAAAGAAGTGATTGCCTTTGTGCTGTTTCCGTTTAAAGATAGGTGGTTTCAAAGCAATCTTGCTTATTCAAATAAATCATAAGCTTTATAAAGCCATGCAGACAGATGTAAAAGTCCTATCCTGATGTGAAAATTGATAATGTTTAATCAAAGCTCTTGATTTAGAATAATAATGATATAGGGCTTATACTGGAGAATAAATATAACTCCCAACCTGCTAGATGTCAGATATGCTACGTTTGTGTTCCCCCAAATCAAAGAATGAATTCTAAGAAACAATGGAGGTTAAGAGTAGGAAAAATTCAATGAGAGATATAGCTCCTGAGAGACAAGAGGGGACCCGAAAATGAATTGCCATAGACCCCACTTCACAGAGGAAGTTTTATAGAGCAAGATCAGGAGGTGGGTACAAAATCACAAGGTGGGTACAACATGGGTCAAAACTATGATACAATAAGATTACAAGTATAGCCTCTTAGTTAATATGGATCCAGTGGGGAAGCAGGTCACGTAACAAGTGCACATGGTAGGAACAAGGACCTTCTTTGGAAGAGATGATGGATCAGGAGGTCCTAGTCATCCATTTGGGTGATTAATGTCTATCTAGACTTTATTGGACCAGGTGATACAAAATATAGAATAATCTTCAATTTGTTGCTTTTCCCTTGGAGAGGTATAGAGGCCTGGTCATTCCATCTTCATCTTGAGGCCTGGCCTTCAACAGATGCACCTCTAGCCACGGTTGTAATGTGTTCTCATCCTCTGCACTGACTCCCTTGAGGGCCTAGCCCTATCTGACTGCCTATAATATTTCTGCCTAACTTAACTGTCTATAATAATAAGACCACTTAAATATTTTCTCATGTAGTAGTTTGGGTTCTGTTCCAATATAGAAAACAAATACTTCATCGAGTCCCAAGAATGCCGTACCAAAAACTCTGGTCAAATTATCTTGGCCTAAACTATTTTCAAGTCAGATATTATAATCAGCTATCTGCCACTATAAATTATAAATAACTACCTTTCAAAGTAGCTGTAGAAAAATGAGATGAACAAAGTGTCTACTCTTATTTGCCAGAGGATAAACAATAAAATAAGCTGTTTGTAACCAGCTATCTTTACCATGCTCAATTACTTAGCTTCAGAATGTTCCACAGAACAACTGAGTAATTACTGAGCTGTGTGATTTATTTGATTTCTGTATGTATTTAAATACATTTTAGAGGTAGGCAAGGTAATAGGACATACCTATATTGCTAATCGCTCCCCCGCCTTTTTCTGTCTTGCCATCATTTCTTTTCTCCAATAGGTTGTGTGGTTCCAGGGGCTGGTGCAGCTGAAGTGGCAATAGCTGATGCTCTTGTTAATTATAAGCCCAGTGTAAAAGGAAGAGCTCGTCTTGGAGTCCAGGCTTTTGCTGATGCCTTACTCATTATTCCCAAGGTACAGCCATCCTACTGGCTATATAACAACAAGTTAGATTTAAAGGTGTTTGATTACAAATTGCCCAAATAATCTGACAGTAGTATAGAAAGACAGGGAAATTTTTGAGATAATAGCTCAGAATTCTTTCAGGAGCTTCATGAAGCAGGCAGATTATTCTCTTAGCCCTTTCCGGGAGCTTCAAATGTTGAAGTAGCTCTAAAAGTTTCCTTTAGAAATGTTTCGTGAGGAACTGATTGTAGTGAAAAGTATAGAACTTAAAATTTAACTGAATTTTAGGGTAAAGTTTTGTTGGTGGTATCCAAAATATAATCACTTTAAAATGTGGACAGTGAGGACTTTCAGGCTGTTTCAGATTCCCAAACACTGCTATCTTGCATTTGTCATTGTCATTATAATTCCTAGAGAAGAAGAGAAACTAGAGGTTTTCTGTTTGGTAACAGACAGAGAACTATTCCTTTTTCTTTGCCTCAATCTGGTTGTAAATCACTTGGAAATACACAAAACTATTTCAAATATGCTGTTATCATGAATTAAAATATTACAATGCTAGCAAAATCTTTTAAATAATGGCTATTAAAATTATTCATAATTTATGGGTTCTTTGTGCATCAGATATCTATTTTTTTTCTTTTCTCAAAAAGCAAAGTCATTAAAAAATGATGTGTTGTTAAAACAAATTGGTAATCCTGAAATGCATTGGTGGTACCTTTTCTCCATTAACTGTTGGTTTGGGGAAACTTGGAAATGAGCCTGGTCTGAATACCAGTATCTCTACCCCTGCTGCCACAGACCATGGCTTTCTTCCTGAAGATGAGAGTGCAAAGGTGCTGGAAATATGTTGGTTTTCTTTAGCAAGTGCCTAGAAAAAAACAGAAGACATGTGACTAGAGGGACTAGAGAAAACTTAAGAATACTGTTCTACTTTTACATTTAAAATAATCTTTTGTGAAGAAGGAATTCATTTAGTAGGATTGGAAGAACTCTGAGAATATAGTGTGATATGCATGTGGGTAATGTTTAAGTAAATATAAAAATAACTAGCTAGACAAAATAATACTTTGATATGGGTATTCTTCAGGGCTGGGGATTTAGTTCAGTGGTGCCACCATCTGCCTTGCAAGCGCAAGGGTCCTGAGTTTGATCCCCAGTACTAAAAAGAATGATAGGTGTGTTTCTTGTATACAACATATTGTTGGACTTTGCTTCTTAATCCATTCTGCCAATCTGTTTCTCTTGATTGGTGAATTGAGGCCATTAACATTGATGGTTATAACTGATACATTCTGACTTATTCTTGTCATGTTATTGTTCTTTCGTTGACTCTTTTTACTTTTTCTCCCATCTCCTTTTAGGTTCTTGCCTTGCCTATTTGATTTGGTCTGTTGGGCCTCATGTTATTGTGAACTTTGTTGTCCTTTTCTAGGATATTGTTTAGAATTTCTTGCAGTGCTGGTTTGGTGTTCATGAAATTTCTCAGGTGCTCTTTGTCATGGAAGTATCTTATTTCCCCATCTATTTTGAAAGAGAGTTAAAAACGAGAAAATAGATTCATTCATAGGAAAATGGATACATATTGAAGATGTACTCCTAAGTGAAATAAATAAGTCACACATGTGTAAATACCGAATAGTTTCCCTGGTGTGAATAATCTGCAACAATGCATAAGATCCTAATAAGATTACTGACATTTAGAAATGGGAAGAAAGGAGCTAAAGGTGTAGGGAAGGTGGGATGGATAGGGGAAGAGTAAAAAGGGAAAAGAAAAAAATGTGAGAGAATGAAAAGATGAAAATAAAGTGTTTGTAGATGGGGAGGGGAGGAGGGGGTGAAGGGAAGGCAGAGGTAAAGGGAAAAAATGAGACTCAAGACTTGTCATGTAGAGGTACAAGATCCCAACAATGAATGTAACTGTACTATATCCCTAAAATGTACCAATAAACTCAATTAAAGCGGAAAAAAAAAGAAATTCTTCAAAAGGATATGATTACTGAATTACGGATGTGTTTTCACAAGACTAAATAGTAGTGTCTTTTGTGTTAGCTATTCAAATATACATGTAAAAATATTTCATGCGTGTATTTGTTATTATTTTTATTCATAAAGGTTCTTGCTCAGAATTCTGGTTTTGACCTGCAGGAAACACTAGTAAAAGTTCAGACTGAGCATTCAGAATCAAAGCAACTTGTTGGCATAGATTTGAATACAGGTAAGAAATTGAAGAAAAATTAGCTGTTTGTTAAAGAGAGAGGTTATTCTTCAGTCATCCAGATCTTATAGTAAGGTGGTAGGGATTTGAGTGACTTTATTAAATTTTGGGTGATTCTTGTTTACTTTTGAACTTCTTAAAATATTAACGTAAGAAACAGTTATTGAGAGCTTATTATTTTCTTTTATAATTATATTTTTTCATGCAGAACAAAATAAAACACCTGCCTTTGTGAGCTTCTGTTATAGTGGGGGACAACAGGCACTCGATAATAACCTTAATTAACAAGTTTCTTTAACATTTGGGGAAGTAATAAATTTGATGAGAAAATGAAAAAGCAGAATAAGGATGATCAGTTCAAGGGGATGGGTTGGGTGGTTTGCAATTTAAAGAGATTGGATAGTGTAGACATCATTGAGAAGAAGGTAGCTACTGAAAAATGGAAGGAAATAAGGAAGTTAGCCATGAGGGGAGCTGGGAATAAGTATTTTAGGAGAGAGAGAACAGCCAGTGGAAAAGCCAGTATCTGACATTTTTGAGTAGAAGGAAGGAGGTGACAGAAGTGATACAAAGTCAGATCACGCAGGGGTATATGGGCTGGTCTGAGGACTTTGGCTTCTACTGTAGTGAAATAGGGAGCACTGATGACAAAGTAATTTTAGCAATGTATTAAATATTATTAGATTATACCAATAAACATTATGAAATATGTCAAGGTTGTTGTATTAAAATGGTTTGATTTTACTTTACAGGGGAACCAATTGTAGCAGCAGATGCAGGAATTTGGGATAATTATTGTGTGAAAAAACAACTTCTTCACTCTTGGTAGGTTGGAAATAATATACAAAGAAAGCTCTTTAGGGGTATAATTGATATATTAAATTTTTTCTATTATTTTTGTCATCCTGCAGTAGAAAACATGCCAAGTGTATGAAAAGGTGTAGTGTCCAGTTATTAAGACTAGTTTCTGTTATTTTACACTCATTTTATATATTTTAGCTGTAGCAGTATAAGCTATAGGAATGGTTACTCTTGACTGTTCATTTGATGGGAAAAGGAAAGTGGAAACTACTGAAATAGTACCACTTGTGTAGTGAGGAAAATAAAATGATGTGCTTAAACAATAACCTCAGTTTTTCTGAAATACAAATCAAATTTCCACCTTATCAATGAGGGAGTTGAAATTTTAATACAGGTGATGTTGTTTGTATTTATAATAGCTTTGTCTCATAAAATCTTATACCAACATAAAGAAAAAAGTGCCCTTCATAGCTGAAAATTGCTGGTGGAAAGGTAAGCAAGGGTTAGTAGGCTTTACTCTCTCTCATCTTTTTCCTTAGCACAGTAATTGCCACCAACATTCTCTTGGTTGATGAAATTATGCGAGCTGGGATGACTTCACTCAAAGGGTGACTGAATTCAAAATCAGCTCTTCTGGAAGACGAGATTTAGTACAGCTCATATCCAACGGCTGTTGTATAGCCTGAACAAGACTTAACTTTTTCACAGAATAAATGCAGTTAATATCTTTTGGTCTTAACAGCTTCAAAAATATTTCATCAAGGTATAAAGATCAAATAAATATTTTTAGAATAAAGGAATAATCATAAAAATATTTTTTATTTTTCCTTAGAGTCCTAAATCCCTACCCTGTATTGCATGTTATTGCCATTTTCATAAAATAGAATCTGTTATGATTCTTAGGCTTTCTAGGCAACTTTTAATTAATCAAATGTGGAGCACAGGTTTTAGAGCACCCAAGTCAATTTACAGTGTTTCAGAGGGTATTAATATAGTAAGACAAAATGTTTTATTTTTCTCTTAAAAATCCTCAAGTAACTTCTTGCTGCCACACTCTCCCCTCATAAGTTTGGTGTCACTTTGTGAATACTGCTTTGGGTATATTGATTTACTATATCTAGTGATTTAGATGTAGTTTATTATATTTTACCTGGCTCCTTTGTATATATGATTCTATATGTAGTCAGCAACTCAGGCCACACAGCTCTGATAGCTCTCTGACTAAATGGAGAGGCAATCTCCTCTGGAAAGGTGGAGGTTATTAGCATCAACTCTGAGACATGCAGATATTCCTTGTTTAACAACCTACCCATTTAACAACTGTTTACATTTATGATCGAGGTGTGCTGTTTGGACTTACAACTTGTGGGTTTTTTGGTACAATTCTCTACTTCTTGTTTATGCCTTAGTTGAAAACCTATAATTTTATAGCCTGTTTTCCACATAATATTGTCAACATCTTTACAAGTCAATTATTATATTTCTTAACTGTCTTATATGATTATTTTAGTAATTCTTTATAAATTTTTTTGTTTACTAATAAAGATCTCATGTTTAAGCGTCTGCTTTATTGTATAGTACAGACCTTTTAAAACGGTTATGCTATGCATATTGCTGGACATTTTCTATGTCAAATATTAAATTATGAAATATTTTAAATATACAAAAAGGACAGTAATAATATAATAAGCACCTTTGTACTCTCCACCTAGCTTTAACAAATAATAACATTTTGGTGTGTTTACTTTGGGTTTTTTTTAAAGGTAATACAAAAGTACAGGTGTTAAAGTATCATTTCCCTCTGCCCACTCCTCGTTATATGCTTTTCCTACTCTTTTTCCTAGAGACAATTTTTGAATAATATACTGAATTTTTTCCTTTTAGTATATTTACATATACCTTTGGCAATGTAAAATGCTCTTTATGAGTTTCTAAAATGAGCCGGGCGTTGTGGCGCACGCCTGTAATCCCAGCACTCCGGAGGCTGAGGCAGGAGGATCGCTGAGTTCGAGACCAGCCTGGGCTACATAGTGAGTTCCACATCAGTCTCAACTACATAGTGAGACCCTGTCTCAAAAAACATAAATAAATAAATAAATAAATAGATAAAATGAGTTTCTAAAATGTATAAATAGTAGCATTCTGCACATATACTTTTGCTGTCTTTCTCACTTAACGATTCTAAGATTTATCCACTGCTACATCATTTGATTATTTCTACTTTTATATATTTTAAACACTACAGTGATGAAATTATTTGTACATATTTCCTAGAGTAGAGTTGCTGGGGTTAAGGGCTCTTTATCTTGTATTTATTAATTATACTAGTTTATATTTTCCCCTGCGATGTATTTAGTTCTCATGTCTCTACAACTGTGCCAAATCTTGGTATATTTAAGTTTAATTTTTGACAATGTGAGGGGTATAAAATTATATCTCATCTTGATAGTTGTCTCAATAACTAGTGAAATAGGTCATATATATATTATTTTTATTTGGTTCGATTTTTTTGAGATAGCATCTCACTATATAGCTCACGCTGGTCTTGAACTCACTATAAGTCTAGGAGTAATCCTCTTGCCTTAGCCTCCTAAGTGCTGGGATTGCAAGTGTGTACCATCATGCCTGGCTTTGAAATTGGACATATTTTCATAAATCTATGGGCCATTTTCAATTTTATAAAATTACCTGTTCATATTATTTTCTATTTTTCCCATTTTCTTTCTTTCCTTCTAATTGGTACGAGATGTAACAATATAGAGATGAATATTCTCATATATATGCTTTCCTATTTTAAGAAGCTCTTTCCTACTTAATAAGAAAGGTACTTTTGTGTATTTTATGTGTTTTAAATTTTTGTTTTTCACATACAAGTCTTTAATTAGGAGTTTACTTTTGTGTGCAGTATGTGGTGTGGTTCTTATTTTTTCCCCATGTGCTGACCAAACATTCACACATTCGCTGATTTGTGATACACTGCTATCATGTATGAGAGTCTGTTGCATTCCATTGGGTTGATCAAGTCTTCTTTATTTGGATTAGGTTCTGGTTCAAATATTTTGTTCTATTTCTCCAGCAGACTGTCATCACATTAATACCATAGTGTTTTAATTCTTATAATTTCAGAAAGACTCTTGATACCTGGTAGCATGAGTCTCCTGTATCCATCTTTTCTTTATTTTCTTCTGAACTGTTTTGGCTCTTTCTGGACATGAAATTTCCCTCTTTCATATACATTTTATCATCTGTTTATATATTATTCATATATTATTGTTGTGTTATTATTCCTCCATAGAGTTTTAAAAATATTGGTTCTTTTATTACACACGTTTTCTGAACACTATTATCAGTGCAATAATTTGTAGAATATTTTGAAACATTTAAGTTGACGATTGCCTAAGAATAACAGCAGTTTAGTTTTTCTTTTCTAGTCCTTGTACTATTTCTAATATTTTCCTATTTTATTGTTCTGGCTAAGCCCTTCAGTATATTATTATAGAGGAGTAATAATAGCAGTCATCTTTTATCCTGTTCCTGCCTTAAGAGAATTTTTCTATTTCCTTCCTCTCTTGGTCCCTTCCTTCCTCTTCTCCACTCCCCTCTTTCTTTGCTGTGAAAGGCTGGCAGGTAGCTATGTGAGATTAAGTCTGCTACTTTCTGTTGCTCTTTTGCCAGTGTCTATTTTTTATTTTTTGTTGTTTGAGACAGGGTCTCGTTTTGTAGCCCAGGCTGGCCTCAAACTCACAGTGCTTCTCCTGCCTCAGCCTCCAGAGCTGGGCTTATAAACGTGCACCACCATGCCCTGCTAGATTTCTTTTTAAAATTATGATGGCTGAATTTTTCAAATGCTTTTTGCATCCATTGGGATGTTTTCCTTTAATCTGCTAATGTGGTGACCTACTTTAATAGTTCTTTAGAATGTTAAACTATCCTGGCATTTTTGAGATAAAGCCTACTTGATTCATTGATTCTGAGATGCTTGTTTTTCACATTTTAACTTTTCTGTAATTAGAATATATTTTACAGGGCCGGGGACTTAGCTCAGTGGTTCTGCCACCTGCCTCACAAGTGCAAGTCCGGAGTTCAATCCCTGGTACCAAAAAAAAAAAAAAAAAAAAAAAAATTATAGAACACGGCACCTTCTAATTGCTCTTGCCTAAATTTGGTCACTTGTCATGCCTTAGTGTTTTAGACAAAAACCATTTAAGGACCATTTGAGGAAGGAATATGAGTCTTTTTTTTTTCCATTGAGTTTATTGGTACATTTTAGGCACACAGCACAGCTAATTCATTATTGGGATCTTGTACCCCTACATGACAGGTCTTGGTTCTCATTTTTTCCCCTTGTCCCTGCCCTCCCTTCACCCCCTCCTCTCTTCTCCATTTACAAACATTTTATTTTCATTTTTTAATTTTCTCCTATTTTTTTATTTCCCTTATTACCTTTCCCTACCCTTCCCACTTTCCTAACACCTTTAGCCCTTTTCTTCCCATTTCACAATGACAGTTATCTCATTAGGATCTTATGTACTACTGTAGTTTATTCACACCAGAGAAACTCTTTGGTATTTACACATGTGTGACTTACTTGTTTCACTTAGGAGTATATCCTCAATATGTATGCATTTTCCTATGAATGAATCTTAATTTCTCATTCTTTATGAGTAGTTTTCCATTTTATAGAAAAACCACATCTTCTTTATCCAGTCTTCAACTGATGGGCAAATGGGCTGTTTCCAAGTTTTAGCTATTACAAACTGTGCCACTATAAACATGGGTGTGCACATATCACTCTGGTATGATTCTTTTACTTCTTTTGGAAAGATACCCAGAAGAGGGATGGCTGGGTCAAATGGAACCTCTAATCTTAATTCTTTGAGGTATCTCCATATTGACTTCCATAGTGGTTGCACCAGTCTGCACTCCCACCAACAATGGAGAAGGGTTCCTTTCTCCCCACAACCGCGCCAACATTTGTTATTCAGTGATTTCTTGATAGCAGCCATTCTTTGTGGGGTGAGGTG